TTTTCATAAAACAACTTTTGACGCTTAAATTATACTACAAATTTTAAAATAATTCCAGCAACTCCTTTTTTCCTATCGTACTTATTGATACACCAATAATTATTTCAATCCTTTATGCACATTTCTACTCGGTATGCAAGTATTTTTTCTACAGAATCTTGTAAATGCAAGGTCCATGCATAAATTCATTGCGTCCTTTTCACCTTTATGTACCTATTAGTAACCACGTTGTCCTTTTCGAAGGCAATTTTGTTCTCATTTTGTGAACAAAAAGACGAGATGACAAAAGTTTTCCCAACTTTTCGAATAGAATGCACGTCTCAAAATTTTCACAAACTTTCTTTGTTTGCAAATGGATCGAGGTGCACAAGTTTGTGCAAAGTTGACATTTCTTTGATGCCCGGAGGGATCAAAAACTACCCGTTTTAATTAATTATGTATATAGCTCAGCCATCTATGTAGTTAGCTGTGACCTTCTCCCTCCACCGGCCCACAACTTACTACGGCCAACTACGACGACGAAAAAGTTTGCGACGTAGAAAGTTGTAAAATTTCGGACAAATTTGACACATCCCGAAAGACGTTATTAAAAGTGGGCAAAGCTACATTAAGTAATTAATTATTGAATTTAGTGAAAACTTTGTAGGTAACCTCAATTTCCCCTCAAAAGTTTATCGTTCGTTGACGAATTCACCTTTTTTGCGTCATGTTTCAATATTTCTGTATTTTACACTTTTTCACGCCCCCATTCTCCTGAATGTTTTGTGGCAGAGGAAATTGCTCCCAATTTAGTCATGAAAATGGAAATCTGTTTACTTTTTTTGTTTTTGCGTGGGGTATGAAAACCTGCGGAAACTTTCTCCTCTTTAAGAAGGGGACAAGTTTCTCAGAAATGTACGTTTATTATTGACATGTTTACATTAATTTTGTATTGTACACGTCATAATGAGTGATTTGTAACGGGCGACCTTTTTCTTGCCACACAATGAGCTAATTCTTTCCCAGGTGAAAGTTTCCTACGCCCTCACTAACTTTCTCTTCTTCTTCTTCTTTTTTGTCGATCAACTTTCTCCCCCTTTGTTTCACGATTACTTAAAAATATGTCCGTGCTTATCAAGACTTTTGTTACGTAAAAAAGCTGATATTTATTGTGGGCAGCGACATGTCTATTGATAAGTTTGTACGTCACGTCACGTCGCGTCACGTCAGTCATTCTTTACTCTCTTCATTCTCCTGCGTGGATAAATAAATAATGCTGTTAACCATTTCACCGAGCGAGCGAATGAGACGGTATTTAACGGTGGAAAGGACATTCTCATTCTTCTGAGAGGGCGACATTTCGTGTGGATTTTCCTTCCATACATAGCTAATTTGGTTAATTGCGATTAATTATGTAAATTCGATGGGTTTGGGTGAAAGCGTCACAAGAGACGTTAATGAAGACGCCGCACAATATGACGAAATGAGGGCACGTGTTAATGAAAATATTGACATTTTGTAATCGGAAATTGGTTAAATACTAGGGAAATTATGTTGTTTTAACCTAGTTGAAAAAATTGTATAATTACATATTGTGGTAATTTTGGTGCGAACATAATGAAAATATTGACCTTTTTAATAGAAATTATATAAAGGATTTGACACAATTAAAAAAATTATGATAATTATTTTCGTAATTTAGTGTAGGCTTTAATTTCAGAGAGATTTGTGCGTGGTATTGTAATTTATTTTCGACAAAAAAGGTCAATCCTGGTAATTATTCTCTTAATTTTGTACGCGACCAAGTAGAGATTGAAGCTAGTATTTCATTTATCCCCACAAAAATAAGTACCTAAATAACTCATAATTAGCGTAATTGTTCCCCAGGATAATTACTCATTTGCGTATTTTCACTTAAACATATTTAATTATTCGTCTTCTCTCTCCTTATATTTCCTGGTTTTCTGGGGAGGATATTTAATTTTTGACATTTGCGAGTTACTTTCACCTCGTGGAGTGGTACTTTTTGTTTACATTTTTGTTTAAGATAATGGATAGTGTACATGAAGGAGCGGAGAAAGGAGAGAAAGTTGAGTGAGGAGAAAGTACATACATAAATTGCTTCGTAAATATTTGATTTAGAGTATCGGGTCGATACGTCTGACTGCTGAGCCTTCTTGCTCTTTCACTCCTCCTCGACAGAAATATTAAGCAAACTGGGAATAAAAACTGGGTGTAACAAAGTGTCGGAAGGTATGTAAATCAGATGAATGAAATTAGTTTCATTGAAATATTTTTATGTTATGTACAACGCTCGATAAAGCTTAACATACCTACAAAAGTAATTTAATACTCATTTTTTCCTAGAAATAACTTTCGACGTAGATATTACGCCATTTTATTAATTGTAAAATTGGCTTTCTGTGGGAGATAAGTGCGTTTAAATTTAAGGAAAATAAGTACAAATCTAGTAAGCATGGATCTTAGATACATTATAAATTCGGTTGGTGAAAGTTCAAAATTTTATAAAATTCATATTCGGATCGCAAACTGCATGTGCTCTTTTAATTTTATATTTAATTATCATTAGCGAGATATTTTCCAGAAAGGTGAGAAAATTAAATTGCTATTTAAATTTATTAATATTTTGACCCCTGACCTTGAAGGTCATGACCAGCGAGATGCATTACTCGATTTTATTTTCCACTTCTGTTCCCCATATCTATCGTCGACACACCTTTAAAATATTGTCGATGACCTACATTCATCGAGGGAAGGACAGACATTAAGACTCATAAAGCAGCCACCCCTACCTATTTATTTAATAAAGGAGGAGAAGGAATTAGCCCAGTGTCGACTTTTACCATTTACCAAGACCCCGAGTAAACAGTGACCAAGACGAGGAGAGATTATGATTATTCAAATTACCATCTTAATATTGCACCCACGCGGAAAATGTGTACCCAACCTGAACACTAACCCCTGGCATTAAGAAATACATGAAATTGTGTAATTTTAAAGGGGGAATGATGACTCTAATCTGGATTCATGAGCCTCTCTCTCTCTCTCTTACACAAAGAACGGTATAAATTTTTCAATTTTACCAACTTTCTTTCTCTCCACCACTGACTACTCTACGAGTCGTGCATGGCGAGTAATAAAAAAACGCCAACAATAAAACTCCAAGTCGAGACATGCGGCTGGTTGAACTTTGGACGAATTTATGTACTTAAAGAAATGAGTGTACTTTTTTGCAAAAAGCAATTGCACGAGGAAAATATGAGGAGCATTTAAATTAGTAATGTCCTTGCTGTGTGTGTGTGTGGTATGGCAAAATGCGTTCTTTGTACAATTTACTTACTGTATTATGGATTAGATTAGACTTACTGAAGGAAAGGAAGAGATGCATTAGTGGTGATGGTGATCGGGTGCATGTGAATAATGGGACAATGCATTGTGTGGGTTGGGTGGGTGGAGAAAAGTGCGTGGGTGTGGATCAGATCGCATTAACCATTTCTTTAATTGCCCACCTAGTATCGTTGGCATAATAAATGTGGAAATCATCAAAATTGATTAAATATTGAAGAAATCTACGTTTTACGAGGTTTGTGGCGAATTTTGAGACAATTTTTTCTGAACGTTGCACTATGAGGAGATTGAACGCGTTCCAAAACTTTTCAGCAACAAAATCAGCAACATTTTCCCTAATTGGTGTAAAGAAATTTGTCCCAGTTCTGCCCAATTTTTCAGAACAAAAACTGTACTTTCTCTCGCTTAAAAGGTGTGGGGAAGTTGAGAATCAGGTTGATTTTTCGACCCACAAGGCCGACGAGATTAGAGAGACGCCGTGATGTATGAGATGTCAAACTGTTTGGAATTCCTCGAGTAAATTATTCTCCTCCTCCTCCTCATCCCATCACTTACTTCCTCCTGGTATCGGAGGATAGTGGATAATCAAAGGAAAATGTCTCTGATTTCTCCCCACGAAATTTCTCAGTAATCAAAAACAGCAAAGTATTCACTTTTTTCTCTCTCTCTCTCTTTAGAAAATCTGGCTTTCTCTCAAATTGCACCACCTTTTCTTGGTCTGCCAGATACCTGACTCGTGAACTCAATCCCGTTCCGATTAATGGATTGGATGCCTTGCTTGTCGGATTTATGTGCGATTCGAAATTCCAAGGTTTTTTGAAACAAGTCAAGAAATCGGGCCAACGGACTGTGTGGGCAGGTGAAAAAGTATGTATGTAAAAGTGGGAGAAAAAAAAACGTGTAAAACTTTGTTATCCGACACGGCTCGTTTAATCCTGTTGCTTTCGTTTTATGTTATTATTTTACTGTATTGTGATATCGTCGTCTTCTTATCCGCTTATGATTACTGTGTACTTATTCTTCTACCCACCCACCCACGCACCCACTAATTTCTGCCCCCACGACGAAGAAAAATCCCGGCTTAAATAAATACGCTTTCTTTCTTCATCTCTATAATCTCTCTGGAGGGGACAACCTTTCCCTTAACGGGGGACTCGATGACTCATCACCAAAAGCTGCACATTTTTAATAATTTCTCGGCTCTGGGAATTTATTTTAAAATTCTGGACGACAAATTTGTTATAGTCAGTGAGTTGATTAATGTCTTTTAAGCCAATTTCGAAGAATCCAATTTTTCTGAAGGCTTCTCAAACTTGAGGTTTCCTCTTTCAAAAACTGTCAAAATCTTACATGTATATTTTCAAAAAAATGGAAACGACCTTCTCTACAAATATATCGTCCAGAATTTTAAAATAAATTCCCAGACACGAAAAATGAATAAAGACGTGCTGATTTTGGCGATGAATCATCGCGTCCTACGTTAAAAAAAATAGCCAGGTCCTACATTAATTCTCCGTCGATTTCCAACTCACGCAGGACACGAATTCACCTCATTCTCCACTTTTACATGTAACTTTCTTCTCCTGCGTCTCACCTTGCCTTCCTTCCATCCATCAGGTAAAAATCCAGGTAAGACACCAGGTCTCTCTCTTCCCATAAGAAGCTGCCCCACTCCGGATGCCAGCCTCAGTGTCGAATTGACCACCACGGGAGAAAGTTCAGGCCAGGATTTCTTTGCAACTTTCTTAATTTGCCCACCTCGAACCATGAAAAGCTTCTCGTTTCCCAGCAGCTCCATGTCCTTCCTTCTCCTTCTGTGGGGCACGCTCCTCTTCGTCAACAATTTGTCCGTCGCAGTCTCCTCCACGGACGGGAATATTAATAACAATAATTTCGTGGGTCTCGGCCCATCGGACAAATTATGGAAGTCGCCATCACCAGTCAATACGCCATTCGCCAATGGGAAGTCGGACAAAGAGGACGGGAACGCGATGGAGAACGAGATTGTGAAATTACTCCCGGAGGAAAACCAGCCCGTCGTGAACCTCGTGGAGCCGGACTACTTCGACGACGAGATTGACATCGACTACGAGGACATTTGCCAGGCCGGATTCTGGTGGCACTTGCGAGGTCATCGATGCGTCCCGGTCAAATGTTTGGGCGGAAATAAGCTGAGGGATCCCGCGACGGGGGAATGCATTCGGAAATCTAGACGCAAGTTTAATAAGTCTCCGAGGAACTATTTTTCGTAAGGGAAATTTATGAAAGATTTTTTTTGAAAATTTACAAAATTTGTTTTTTTTTGTGTGTAGGAGAATGTCATCGCATAGGAGATTTGTCCCCAATTTGAAGCAGTTTGGAGGGAGGATTTTCAGGAAATAAATTTTTGTGGGGAGGATTTTGCTTGAATTTTGATTGATAACCTTTGAAAAAGCTGACTCAGGAAATGGGACAGGACCGGACCGGACCATAAAAGTTATAGTTATGAAAAATTTACTGAAATTATTCAGCAATTATTATGTGTTTATTTAGGACAGAATTATATGTTTGTGAATGCATGCATAATTAACGGGTTGGACAAAATTAAGTGACGTATTTATTTATTTTAATGAAAGTTATCTTGTGTCAAATGTGTTTATGCAAATATGTACCTACCTTGGCTAAAATTGGAGAGAATGTTTATGAAAGGAGAAACATCCTGAAATTGATCGAGTATTATCTAATTGTGGAAAAAATGAGCATTTATGTATTTATAAGAGTCATAAGTAATGTTAAGAAATATTTAATAAAAGAAAGTCAAAAGAATTATGGAACTTGTTACTTGTAACTTGTGTTATTTTTTCTGTGTGGGAGTTATTTTTGGTACGAAATGAGCGATGTTTAATGAGGAGAAAGATGACTTTGACAAGTTCTGCTGACGATCCTGAATAGAAACTTGGGTTAAGTAAAGAAATGAACTTTTGTAGGAGAGGAAATCTTTCACTAATGAAGGAGAGAAAGTGGTTAAATTTCATGGAATTAATTGCTCAAAAGTTTTACATAGATAATAGGATTCGATTTCTTAATCAGTTTGGTATTTAAAGCAGAATTAAAGATTTTACTTTTCCTTTATTAAGATTTTATGGAGGAGTAATTTTCTCTGGGTAACAATTTTGAAAGAAAACTGTTCATAATTTTTGGTAAGTTCTGATAATAGATAAGTTGTAAAGACAGTAAATTAGAATATAATTTATTCTGGCATTTCATTTTAAGGACACATGACACAAAATTTAGCAAAAATGCAAATAAACCGATTAGAAACGGTAATATTTCAATTTCCGGTTCCGCTGGTTCCATTTCCTGTGGCAGGAGCCAGACTTTTGACATTAAACAGTTGTGTTGCTTATGTGTATATGCCTCAGAGATATTAAGATCCGGCTAGAAAATTCTTTTTTCAAAGTTAATATGATATTGATGAGAAAAGGGGAAAATCGTTTCATGAGACACTAGTTGACAATCTCATAGTCCCCTCGGAAATGACCATTCTTGTATCCACATTACTAAGGATAAGCATGGAATATCTTTGCGAATTTTGGTGTCTGGTCGTTATACATATATCGTTCCTTAAATCAAATCATACTCCGCATCCTGAGTTGTTGCATGGAAAAATCTGTATCCTGAAGTGTCACACGTACATACCTACATATGTAGATAGATACCCAAAGCTTTAAAATTTCTTAATCTACTTGCTTACCTCTTATGACAAATATTTGCTCTGGTTGCCTCTGAATTTTAATTATGGGACAACCCAACATACGTCATTATGCTCTTTTTCCCTCAATTAAATTATGCAGTTAGCAAATCTACATTAAAATTGCAAAATTTCCGCGACTCTTTGGTTGGCTCAAAATTTCCGGAGTCGATCTCGAAGTGAATTCTCAACATTTTTCATATTTTCTCCCGAAATTTTGATCTAACTCAAGAGATATGGAGAGGAAAGTTACTGAAATTTTGTAAACGTACATGGGTTTGATAAGTGTCTCTTAAAATTCTCTCGTGTTCGACCTGGTTTGAAAAGTAGTTTGGTTTTGTTCTACTGACAAAAAACAACACGCACATTTACGTAACTTTCTTAAAAAGTTTACAGATTGAGAAAGCGATTCAATTATATTTGACCTATTTCATTTCATTTACCGTGTAATTTGTGCAGTTTATCAAGTTCAGCAAAGTAAAACTTATTTAACTACTGATTAAGTGAAACTTTTAATAATACTTTCTTCGAGTAGATTTAATCGTAAGACGAGACAAGATAGTGCAGAAGGAGAAAGGCATAGGACGATCGTGCAAGACTTGAACAAATAAAGTTAGTTTGTATCATCGCAATAAGTTTTTATTATCAGAACAAATACGAAAATAAAGACGTGGACATTTAGTATTTTCCAAAAAATAAGAAATATGTAATTGCACACCAAACGAAAAATAAATGTGAAAGTTAAATAATTATCCCCGAAAAAAAAAACTCCCTAAATTTTTTTCCGTAGGACTCGATAATGCGTCTTCAAACTCCGCATTTCTTAATAATTTCTGAGCTTTGGGAATTTATTTTAAAATTCTGGCCGACAAATTTGTAAGTGATTAATACAGGAATGGCTGAGTTTCGCAAGCCAGTTTCAATTTTTCTGAAGACTTCTTAAACTTGAAATCTCCTTCAAAAACTGTCAAAATCTGGAGTGTGCATCTTTGAAAAATTGGCAACTCCCTATACTTTATAAATTTTAAAATGAATTCCCAGAGCCGAGAAATGATTTAAACTGTGCTAATTTTGGCGATTTTAGTGATAGGTCACCGAGCCCTACGTTAAAACCTGGAATATAAATATACACCGAGCAAAAACATGTACATTTAAATGCAAAATTTCTGAAAACCTTCCCCAAACTTTCCCCCTTTCTTTCCTTATTTAATCCCTGGATAGAACACGACAGCAATATCGAGATATTTATGTATCAACTTTTTCATCTCGAGGAGCAAGTCGACGGTGGGCTTCCTCATCAGCGCCATCCTCCTCACCAAATGATACTCCACGTCCACCACGGCGAAATGGTTCGGGTGACAAATCTTGCCTCGATATTTCCCCAACAATTTCGCCAAACCCGCAACGACGGCCAAATTGTTCCCGGAACATTGCTCCAGCACGGACTTCATTTCCGCTTGCATCCCTCGCACCACGTTCCGCTCGAAGTGGGAAGGTTTCGTGGCGTGGCAGGAGGCGCAGGTCCAGGGCGACTTGTAGTGGAGGGGATAGTCCGGGAGGAGGTTCCCCTCGAAGCACGTGGGGCACTTGAGCGTGGAAAAGTGCGTGCCCAACTCGGTCCGATCGGAACAGCGGGGACAGGAGCAGTCAAAGTAGAACTGGTCACGGAGCAAGCGTCTCCTTTCCGGCGTCCCTTTCATCAGGTCCACGTACTTTGGAAATTTAAATTATGAAATTTAGTATGTAAATTACAATAAATTATTAAATTTATTGATTATTGATTTACGGGATGGGTGAGCAAACTGAGAGCGGGAGTGTCCTCCGTGACGTACATTTCTAACGTTCCAGATGGCAGAGTTTCCCAGCGGACGGTGCGACGACAACCGTGCGCGGCCATGGAGCCTTTGGGGTAGAGGAAGGTGGCGTTCCTGTACACAAAAAAAGGTTGCTGATTTTCTGGGGGGGGGGAATGGGTTAAGTACTAGCTATTTAATAGTAAGAATAATTAAATTATGATGGAAATTTCGACAATTTTTGGACATTTTTATCGGATGTGAATTAATTTCCAGACGTTTGACGCCATTTTAATAATATTATGTAGGAAGTTAATTTAAAAGCCACCTACAGATACATTGTACCCCCTGAGTGACTGATATGTAGCTTCGCTATATAGCTATTCAATGGTTGTGCCCATACTACGGCATGGTTGAGGTTAATTAAAACATCATAAATTATCGAGACTGATGATAATCTTAAAATTAATTATTTCAAATAATCAGTTTGAAATTTTTCAATCTTTCACATCTTTTTTAAATTATTTTGAAAATTTCTGAAAATATTTTGATTAGAAACTTATAAATTTACTTGTCCACATCCTTATTCGCCTTGACGGCTTCCATCCTTAATGGGTTATTGGGATGGAGCGTGTGTCGGAAGGCGTTGACGTCGATGATTCCCAGGATGAGATCAATCTGCTCTTCGGGCACGTCCCCCACGTGGCACGCCCCCCGAATGAAGTTCTTGGTCAGGGTGGACATGAACCTGACCTTGGGGATGGCCTCCCGCTGCTTCATGTGCGACTCCAGCTTGGTCATGGCGCCCCACGTCGCGGCGTCCTCGGCCGTGCGACCCTTGCTGATCAGAACGGCCCTCAGAACTTTGATGAGTTCGGCAGGGTGGATGAAGTCGTAGGGTGGCTGCAGCGGTGGGGTTATTCCGGCCGAGGAAAATACGGCACACTCGTTCCGAGAGTGGAATGGAATCTGGGAGGAATTACGCAAATTTGAGGAAATTAAATAATTCATTTTGAAAAATACATTATTCATATTAAAATGTTTAAATCGCAGTTACATTAATTTTTGCATCCATCCATTTCAAATGCTCTAAAACCATGTAAAGACTGTGGGGTGACCCACACTGGCTTTTCAAAATTGTCATATCGAGCTTTAATTTGGTAGAGAGGTTGCATATGGATCTTAATGGAAGAAAATAAAATGATCAAACACGGTTGTGGCGATAAGCGCAGTATGAAAACATGTCGACAACGCAATGGAGGAGATCGTGTCCAAAAATGGTGCAAATCGGATAAGAAATGGATAAGTAATGGCGAAAAAAAGAGTTGAGATTTGTTGAGAGTTGTTGCGGTGCAGCAGTGAAATTTGGTTGGAAATGTGGCTGCAAGCTGAGAATCTGCACGGCCATTGACCTCGTCAAATCGCTTCCATCTCAAAATTCTGAGACGAAAATTTTGAGATGGAAGCGATTTGACGAGTTCGATTGCCTTGCAGATTCTCACTTTTCGGGCAAAATTTCCACTGTCAGTTCTCACGTTCTCAACTCACCACTGCAACCTGTCTCAAATCGTTTTTTCTCCATAACTTTGCCATTTCTCATCCGATTTGCACCATTTTTCGACACAATCTTTTCCTTACCCTAAGGGGTGACCCATATCAACTTCGAAGAGTTTATATATTCCGCTGAAATTTAGTATGGGAGCGGTAATTAACTTATGATTAAAATTTAGGAGGGTTGAATTTCGAATGTTTTTTATAGAAAATTCTGACATGAGTTTGCAAAACATTCCTAGTTCGGGGGCTAAGCAAACCTGTACTGATAGGTTTTTCAACTTTTCTCTAACAATTCGAAACTTTACGACGTCACAAATACTTATAGAAATAAGCCCCACATAAAAATCCCAAAAATTCCAATCTTAACACTAAAAAAAACATGCAAAAATCACACATATTTGTCTCTACCTGTTCGCACTCCTTCCCACAAACAGGCCAACCACAAGTGGAACATGGTCTTGGATTTTTAGCCTTTAAACAACACCCGAAACAAGTATTGTCCCCCGAATTTGGCGACACGAAGATGGGATCTTCTCTCAAAATGAGCTCCCCAGCTTTCAAGTCACGCCGAGCAACCAGATACCGGCCAAGCGTCGGATTATTCGCTATTTTCACAGGAAACGAGGAATATTCGTCATCTTCATCGTCACAAGATGACAAATTGTCCCCCGTGGTCAGCTTAATGGGACAATTCGAAATCAAATCCACCCTTTTCTTCTCCATTTTAATCTCTGGGTCTAAATCCGCCGTCAAATTAAGATCACTTCTCTCTCTTAACCCTTGGTAATTATTCGTTTCCATTATTTCCCCTCAGACGACTCCTTATCTTTCCGCCTTATCGACTGCCCGGACTAAACACACTCCGTCGTCTCTTCATCGTCTCACATTTATATGCACATACACACGTAGGTTCTTCTGATTATGCAAATTCCTCCTGCTTTAAAATGCAGGAAACTTCTTTAAATAAACCCATCTCTTTTTAACGACATGCTTATTATTGTTTGAAAATGAGATGTGGGGCGAATTCTGTGATGATAACTTTGTCTATTGTCCCCCACACGAAAGTTGGCAGTCTTCTCGATGCCGTGCCATGTGCTAAACTAAAACTTTAATCGTGTAAACTTCTGCATCTGCTGTGGCGGCTGACAGGAGAGCAGATTTCATTTCATTTCTACCAGTTAAACTTTACGAGGAGGACGATCGCGATGTGTTGCTTTTAATAGTGACGACGAAGAGAAAAGGATGGGACGCATGCATGGAAACTTTTTTAGACCAAGTTTATGCTAATGTTTACATTCCACATTCGCACATTTATAATGTGTCAAAAGACGACATGTATTAAACAACGGGACGATCAAGGAAGTAAAAGGGACTCTGTTTCCTAAAGAAAATAGAGAGTACAAATTCGAATAAATGGGTACAAAATGGGTGAAATTTTGTGTATTTGTGTTTGGAAAATGTACAGAAAATGGATAAAATTTATGCATCTTTACCTACAAATTTTTAGGATAAAACCGGGTACACAACATTTTTTGGTAAATGTCCAAAAACTCAGAAAAATTTCTATTTTGCCAATTTTTGGACCGAATTTTCCAGTTTGGTAATAAAAATTGTGTAAAGATTCCCATAAAAGCGTTCGACATATGTGCATATAATTCTGAGTATTTTTGTTTTGTAAATGTGCAAAAAATTCGTATTTTGGGCATGATCTTTGGACCGAATTTGCTTCTGATAAGACCGAATCTGCATAGAATTCCGGCATTATCATGCGCCGCTAATTTCAGTCGCGTCGCCGTCGTCATCGTTAGGAAATTATGCTAATAACGTCTTGGGCCTGCTTGCATGACTTGTTAGCACGGTGCATGGCGTTGCGATACGTTCGCAGTAATAATACACGTTATTTATGGGGAGCAGGATGTGACGGCAATTAAGGTCCGTGCCAATATTCCACTCCTCGCCTTCTTCCCTCTCTCCAACCTTTCCATTTTCAAATGAAATGATTTTTTACTACCCATCCAGACACATGGCAAAATATGAACAAATCACCTCCCAACTTTTTTACAAAAATTCCCAGCATTTTGACTCGAAATTGATGCAATTCTAACATTTAGATTCGTCACTTTAAAGAGACAATTACCCCACAAAATTCACGTACAACTTGAAAAAATCAACTTTTGAAATGGACCGAGTTGAAAAAAATATGAACAAATCGCCTCCCTATCTTTTGTACAAGAATTTCGAACATGTTGCCCCGAAATTGATACAGATCTAACATTTTGATTCGTCAAATCTCCATTTTAAGGAGAGGAATTCTTTCAAAAAAGTTTAACCCCTTGAAAAATTCCTGTCATAAATTGGATCAGATTTTATTTCTTATCTCATAAACTCAGCGGACCTGACCGTGCGTCAAGGGAATTATGTGAAAAAGATGCTACAGAATTTTGATGCGTTTCTTGGATGGAATTTGGTCTGGTGGAGGATGGATTTGAGTGGACTGCGAGGAGACGAGAGAGTCAGAGATTAAGTTATATATGTCCAAAAATAACTAAAACTCTGACAAAATGGAACACATGCCGTCTTTTTTGCCTACATAACTTTTGTCCTTCTCGCCTTTTGATACAGTACACTTTTCCGTGACATGTGGATGAATAGATGTCGACGACGACGACGAGGAAGATGAAAGCAAGAAGAAAAACAAAGAAAGAAATTTATTCCTGCAAAATACGACGTACATATTTTTTTCTATAACTATTTGTAGGACAAAAGATCCCATTGTGTTATGTATTATACATAATGTATACTCAGAGGGTGGATATGTATTTATGAAAAGTCGCTGAAATATTTACGCAAAAAACGCCAATACATTTACGAAATATGTATGAAAAATGAAAATGCAAAATTTGTAAATGTGAATGAATATAATGCTTTGGATTTTTTGTAGTCCAATTTCTTTGAGCAAAAAAATTCGCTGAAATATTTACGAAATGTATCGTATGTATTTTTGAAAAACATATGTAAAATATTTACATGTTTTTCAAATAACAGCCGAAATGTGTATGCATGTATATGTCTGAAAACCTCGAAATATGTACCAAAATGTAAAAATATTCTGAAGCTTCAATTATCTATGCAAGTTAGGGAACACACCCACAAAGCTTGACCGTCGGTCGTTATCAACTTAAGAGGTTGGAAATGAATCCATAGCCGCCCTCTGATCACGTCAGAAAGTTATTATTCGGAGTGGTGGTTTGGTCCATGAATGAGATGATGGATGAAAGAAGGGGATTTTTTTTAGGTTATGGGGACGAGGTGTGTGTGTGGGGGGGGGGGCAGGAGTAGAAAAAATATGTTAATGCAAATGGGACTGGATGCTGCTGATGAGATTGGAAGTGATTCAAGTATGTAGAGACATAAACACATATTGGTTTTCGGGATGAAAGATGAGACGTTTTGATTTCATGTGTCGTGTCGTCTCGCAAATATTCTTGCATCGTTAGCGTCGTCGGGAAATGATAGATGTTGGTTTTTTGAGGGACGCAGCATTTTTCAGGTATTTTTAGGATATTTATTTTTGCTCGTGTATCGCAAATGTAAATATGACGGATTGGAGTGAAAGGTGAAATGTGCCGGGGAGAGATCAATTGACGTGTGTGTTTGTATAGAATTGCTTGGTTGACTGTGAAAACAAGTTGTGAGTTTTTTTTAGACAGGACTTATGTATGGAAATCGTTCAATGTCCGTCATTCTGCCTGTTCAGAGGACGCATTTTTGTGAATATGAAGTGAACTTTTAGAAATTTTGTGTCTAAATTGGTGGCAAAAGGATTGACGTCAGGATGTATGTACGCGAAAATTTGGGCATACCATTTATTTTATAAGATAAGATATTCGGTGTCGAAATTCTGATTGTTCACACCTTTTTAAAATATGTAAAATTATATAAATACCAGACAAAATCGACTATTCTGGGATATGCCAAAACTGCATTACAAATTAAAAAAAATTAGCTTTGTAAAATTCGTAGGCTTTGTAAAACGATTTTACAAACCTTAACAAAATAAAAAGACGCCATTAATCTGACTATGAGTAAGTTTATAAAAACTTGTAAGCTAATTTTCCTTACAAATATATATTTATAAAATTGTGTAAAAGCTTGTAAGTTTTCGGATTACACAAAGTTACCCAGGCCTGCGTGAATTGCATGGGTAGTTTTTCTCGGGGAGAGAAAGTCCTTCGGGAGAAAGTGTGTACTCCAGAATTTATGCGGCTTTCACTATGGCGAAGCAAAATTGCCATGTCAAAATGTCATAATAAAACTTTCACTTACATGACAAAATTCGTACCTTATTTTACAAACATGAGCAAAAACATTGTTCGAAATTTTGAAAATACAAATTCCTTTGAGACCGGACCCCAGTAAAATTATGGCGTCCTTCTTCCGTGCATCCTGTGCCGTGTATTGGCTCGTTTGGGTAAAGAAATACCATTTTCAGAAATCTTTCGAATTAAAAAAATCTGGTGTTTCGTTCCTTGCTGGCTTGCTACATTTCTTGCACTGGGTAGCAAGCAGCGCAAGAAATACGAGGTGCAAGAAACTGGGAGAAAGTGCAAGAAATGTATGAAGTACAGCGGCGTGGCGAAGTTTCTTGCGCCTTGCATTTCTTGCAGGTCAAAATATCCGAAGAAACCACTTTTTTCCCGTTATTTCTTGCACGTGGTTACTTTCACCCGAAACACTGAAAATCTATTTATTTTCAGTTGGTCGTGCTCTCGTACGCGATCGGGATTTCGATTTACGAGGACGAATATGTCATCGAGAAGAATGACGAGTACAGGAAAACGACGGCGTTGGTCAAGACGCTGTGCTTCGTTTGCGCCGCGTACTCATTTTTGGGCTGCATTTTCGTCAAGTGTGACATATCTCATTTGGGTTGTTTCCTACTGGTAAGTGAGGTCATAGGTCAAACAGTAACCTCTCTGATTCATATTCTTTCCTCATGCAGTACGTGGTTCCGCTCCTCTTCATCATCCCCGGCTTGAGCATTTACGGGATCGTGACCAACTTTCCGAACAAGAAAGACAACGGCTCCTTCTTCGTAAATTCGACCGTTTTGCTCGAAAATGTGAAAAATGCTTGGCGAATTAAAAGCAAAAGTCCGGGATGGTTGACGAGAACGGAGGTCAACAAGGTGAGTGTGTAAATTGTGGTCCAAAATCACTTCCGTTTGGACAAAGTGCTGATTTTCGTCTCCAGTGAAGTTAAACTTTAGTTAAAAAATCATTTAATAATTTTTCGCAAATTATGACGTTGAATTTTGGTCTAAAACTGCAAATTTACTTATTTTTCTTCCCCTGTGAGGTTAAATGGTAAAAAAAATCAATTAATTATCCTCCCCATTTTTAAAATCAAAAGCTTCCTTATTTTTATTCCTATAAATACGCCAAATATTGGTCTCAAATTTACTGCTTACTTTCCTCCAGGAGTGTTGCGGCATTTACTCGTACAAGGACTACCAGCTTCTCTTTTACCCCCTGAAGCACACGACCCCCGTGATGATCAACTCCACTTCGGGGGACGGTCGAGTTCTGAAAGAGTTTCCCATCTCCTGCTGCAGTTGGTACCATGGGAAAGAAGTGGGAAACGATGGCGTCCCTGGCGCCGCGACCAAGAAGAAGCTGGACAGCGCCCAGACGCACTGCATCATCGAACTGGGACGCATCTCCACCACGCGCGCCGCAGCCAACTTGTCCGCCACGTACGTCGAGTATGACTGGGAGACCAAGGTGTACAACAACTCGGGCGTGGAAGGCCCCAATTTCCCCATCTTCTTCAATGAGGACAAGCGCCCCATGGTCCATACCAATGTGGGTAAAAAGTGGAAATTTAGCCGATTCCGAGCTAATTTCGAGCTATTAATTCCCATCTTTATTGACATTTTGCGACCGTAAATGACCTATTTTTGAGCGAAAATTGCGATGATTTTGAGCTGATTTCCATATTTACTTACACCTTGCGACCTTTAGTATCCTATTTCTATTTCTGAGCCAAAATTGTTCCATCTTTGAGCTAATTTCGAGCTATTAACTTTTGACCATTTGTGACCCCCCAATTATCTATTTTTGAACCAAAAGTGATCGTATTTTTGCAATGAAAACGAAAATTGGATCGATTTATTAATAATTTTGAATTATTTCCGATTTATTCCCCTTTTTCATGGCCTTTTATGACCCAGGGTTGCCTGACCGTGATCGTGCAGCAGCACTTGAGTGCGGTCGAAGCGCACGAGAGCTTCTTCGTGATCCTCATCATCGCCAGCGTGTTCATGTTGATGGTGTACGTGAAGAGTTGGTGTGACGGGCGGCACTTCAGCGGAAGCGGATCCGAACACTCGCTCGACGTGGAGAACATGTCCGTCATCGATATCCCTCGCTTATCTCAGGGGAATTCTGGAGGGGGTGGAGACAGGCCGAGCAGCGGCGTCGTGGCCAGCGGCGTACGGCGCATGTCCGCCGAGGCGAGGAGGATGTCGGACGGGTTGGTGGAAAACTTGTGAAAGATGCAGATTTTTTGGAGAAATTTCTAAATTTCTAATTTCCAGACTCACCACTGGCATCGTTGGGATCACGCGGAACAGTTTCAGTCACGGTTCAGGAAATCCTGGATCACGTGGCATCGGTGGATCCGTTATGGTCCCTCCAACCGGTGAGATGCATACATATTTACATAAATCTAATTACATGAATTTTCATGAATTTTGCATATTTTTTTCAAAATCCCATCTCAAGCCGGCTTGAAGAAGGGTTTGCTACGAAAGTGAATCTGGAACAACTTTCCCTTTTAAATTTTAAATTATATTTCAATTATGTAAATGTGTCAAAATAAAATAAATTTTCATTCCGTACATGCATCTCGAAGGAAATAATGATCAGTTTTATTTTCAGAGTGAGCAAGAACCAAATCAAATCATGACACCAAAAGTAACGCCGCATCGACTAAAATAAGTTAAAATTGTAGCAAAGTGCGACATTTACGACACCGTTTGTTTGAAACACCGGAAATATAATTTGCATAGGATGAAATCGTGTAACAAAAATAGTTCATAAGAACACAGGACAAGAATTTGTGTGTATTTTTAGCTCATTAAGTTCAGGGGAGGGTGGAGAGAAACGTTTAGTCGACTCTGTAAGAGACGGCGTGTCCGGGCGTGTTGACGACCTTGGTCAACGTGGCGGCACGCACGGCGGGAGCGGCGGCAACGACCGTGGCGGCTGGAGCAATGGCGGCGGAGTAGGTCAAAGCTGGAGCAGCGGCGGCATAGGTGACGGCGGCTGGGGCGTGGTGCGCGGTGGTGTAGGTCACGGCGGGGGCAGCAGCGGCATAAGTGACAGCTGGAGCAGCAGCATAAGTGACGGCGGGGGCGGCAGCATAAGTGACGGCAGGGGCAGCGTAGCTAACGTGGGCTGGAGCCACGGCGGTGTATCCGTATCCGAAGGTGGCTGGGGATCGGAAGACAGCGGGCGATGAGATGAGTGGGGTTCCAACGACACCTCGCTTCGTTCGGGAACGGGCAGCGGCGTGAGCAGCGGCGTGTTGGATCTTTATTACGATTTTCGAACAATTTTTAGTACAAGGTTCATAAATTTGAGGTAGGACTCGATCACCAAAATTATCAAATTTTTAACCATTTCTCTGGGAATATATCTTAAAATTCAAGACGACAAAGCTGTAGAGCAGGTCGGGGCTTTTTTAATGTGCACCCCAGATTTTGAAAATTTTTGAAGGTGGTTCAAGAACCCTTCAGAAAAATTGGAACTCATCGAAACTGGCTAAAAAAACTCAACGCCATGCTACGAATCACCGCGCGGAGTACACATTTGTCGCCCAGAGTTTTGAAATAAATTCCCAGAGGTGATTACAAATGTGTTTCGTGAAGCGTCATCGTTAAAAAAATAAATTGACAATAGTACCTTGGCAGCGGAAACTTCGGGGGTGTCGACTGGTCCGGCGATGGAGACAGCGGGAGCAACTGGGAGAGCGTTGGAGGCGACTCGGTACCCATTGTGGTCAGCGGTGTAGTGTGTCGTGAATGGGATTCCTTCGGGGGAGATGTACGAGAAGCTGGGGGGAAAATACGGGATTATTTTTTACACATTATTTCCACAAATTTCTATTCAGTCTTACGTTCCTCGAACCCCACCGGCAGCGTCTCGGACGGCAGAGTGGGCCTGGGTTGGTTCAGAGTGTCCGAAAGAGGCTAATCAGCGTAAACAATTAAGGTTAATTAAGGCCAGTTATTAAACTAAGCTATTAAATTCAGCCCACCTTGTCCGAGCTCATCCTGAGCGTGGTACTGGGTCTTGGTGGCAACGGCTGGAACATGGTGGACGGCTGGGGCGGCGGCGTAAGTCAATCCGTTGTATCCGAGGGTGTTGTAGGCAAGTCCGTTGTATCCCAAAGCAGAGTACCCGAGACCGAGACCCGCACCGTTGTACAAGATCTGGGCGGAACTGACTGCCAAAACGGCAGCGAAAACGGCCTAGAGAAAAGGACAAGATTTCTTAAAAATATGCAAATTATTCCGGGGGTGAAATTAATTTTAATGCCCCACTTACAATGACCTTCATATTTTTGGTTGGAGGTTGTCGAGTAGTTGCTCTCGGTCGAAAAGTGGCGTGAATGGAGGAATGGTTGAGGGCAAAAATGCTTTTATACTGGAAGAAGGTCCCCACCCAGTGCACGCTGCCCAGGATGAGTGAGTACCACATTCTGCGTGGCTTGGCTTGGCTTGGCCACCATTCATGCCTTTTTTTCTGGACAACCACGATGCCCTGCCCCACAAAGAGTGCAAGCATTCCAGGCAAAAAATCACCACACCACCACCACGATGGTAATTAATTGCTACCATTATTATTATCAGAGAGAGGTCCTTTGTGGTGGTGGTGGTGGTATGGAATTTTCAGCCCAGTCCAGGCCATGCGGACACGATTTACATATGTGTTACGAGACCACTGAAGACTTGATGACCAAATAATTGCTATGCATTGACCACGTTGCTTGTTAGTTTTCATGTGATGATAAATGGTGACGCTGATGAAGGAGGAGGATGTGAGAGCGAAACCTGCGTCAACTAATCCTAAGAGTGAGTGATGTGATGATCTCTTCTCCTAAAGAAATGCAATCAATGCCCTTGATTCTTGATATTATGGAAGCACATTTATTTATGGGACGCCGTATGTATGCCTACTATCTAATAAGGCATCTAATAAGACAAGAACTATGCAAGTGGTGGTTGGTTTGGTAGGTAGCCATTCATTTATGCAGAAGTCATCAATCTCAATTAAATGCTAAATGATATTTAGGTTTGGTTCTTTACTTTTGTATAGAAATACCTTTAATTTCCTGACATATGTAACATGTACTTAGCATACCTGATAATTTCATGGGTTGAGTAAAGTGAATCTTCAAATAATAAGGAGGGGAGGGTGACGTGACGTGATGATAGCATGAAATAAATTAGTTCATTGATTATTCGCGATGATTTTTTGCGTCGAAAAAAATTGTCATGTGTATCTCCCAAAAAACCAAGGGGTAAGGGAAGTCAGTCAGTTATCGATATTAAGGCATGATAAAGATGATTTTGATAAGCTGAATAAAAATACAAGACTCACTTTTACAGCTTGGCTGCTACATTTATCCTATCTAATTTAATACGACACAATTTATTTTCATTTTTGCATTTCATTTTTGTCGTGGAGTACAACAAGTGAAGGAAGCCCAGTAAACATTTCTCTAAGGTTCGGTCAACGAATTCTCTACGATCTTGTTCGAAATCTAACCGATCTCGAATTCTTCAGTGACTCTTAGTGATTTTTGTATAAGATTCTCACAGAATTCGCTACAATCATTCGGTAACAAATTGTGAACGATTTTTTCTACAAATTCTGTGAGATTTCGTAGAGAAATTGAGGCAAATATTGGACTTGCCAAAATCACTACAAATTTTCACCGAATTCGTTGAGTCCTAGAGATACTAAAGCCTGCGCCTTGTGCTAAATTTAAGAGAGCAACGAGGTGATTGAAATCACGCCAGTTAGTCCACAACCACAGCCATGAGCAGGCTGGGTGTCTTTTTCCTCTCGAATCGACAGAAAAGAAGACTTACTAAAAATCTTGGTGACGACAAAATTTTTACAGACAATTCAAGTAAATTATTAAAAGTAGTAGAAGGAGTAAGTTCATCATCAGCCAACATTTCATCAGCCGCTGGAAGTTCATCTCAAATTATTAGTGACACAGTAACCGTAAGTGAACTTTGTGATGTCACACCCCCAACTTTTCCCCTTGAATTTGAAAGCAACAATGTGATAGATTGTGATTTGGCAGATAGTCTATGTGATTTTGATTATGAACTAGATGACAACGTAGGATCGTATAAATTAGACTCATCGGAGTCTGATCAAGAATATTTTAATTCTTCAGATTTCGAAATTGACTTTAAGTATAAATTGCAAAAGTGGAGTTTAGATAATAATATTAGTCACTCAGCGACGTCAGACCTGTTAAAATTACTTAAAACTCATTCATGTCTATCGTACCTTCCATCTGACGCTAGGACGTTACTTCATACCCCTACCAAAACTGTATTGCGAGAAGTGCTACCCGGTAATTATTGCCATTTTGGACTAGAAGTCGGAATTCAGAGGATTTTAGTGAGGAGAAAATGGGAAGGGAAAGTATGTGTGCAAATAAATATTGATGGACTCCCAATTTCCACAAGCGATAAGAAAGAGTGGTGGCCAATTCTTGCTCATATTAGGGGAACGTCGACATCGAACATTATTGTGGTTGGAATATACGAAGGGAAATCTAAGCCTATAAATTTAAATAATTATATTGGTGAATTTGTAGAAGAAGCTTTACGTTTATATAGGGATGGTGTTGATTTAAATACTGTGAAATTTCCGTTTGAAATAGAAGCGTTTGTTTGTGATGCGCCGGCCAGGGCATTTGTGTGTCAAATAAAAAATCATACGGGCTACTATGGATGTGGAAAGTGCACCTTAAAGGGAAAGTATGTAGAAAATAGAGTTGTGTTTATCAAAACCGACGCGAGTGTAAGAACAGATCAAAGTTTTAGAGATAAATTACAGCCAAAACATCATAATGGTGATAGTGCAGTGGAGAAATTGCCAATCGACATCATCAAATCATTTCCTTATGAGTATATGCATCTTGTGTGTCTGGGAGTTACTAAAAAACTGATTAAATTGTGGGCAGTTGGAAAAATTAGGGTGTTTAGGCTGGCTCCCCGAGTAGCTGCAAAGATTTCTAAAAAATTAGTCAAATTAGGTTCTTGTTTACCATTGGAATTTAACCGAAAGCAACGGCCACTTGGAGAAATAGATCGCTGGAAGGCTACGGAACTCAGAACATTCCTACTATACACTGGTTCAATTGCACTGAAGAAATATTTGCCAGAAAATCACTATCAACTATTTATGAGCCTCTCGGTAGCAATTAATATATTAGTAAATCCTAAAATTCAAGACGAGTTGTTATCATATGCTGACTCCCTACTGCGGTATTTTGTGGACCAGTTTAAAAAAATTTATGGACGAGTTAACATGTCATATAATATTCATAGTTTAATTCATCTCGCGGATGATGTGAGAGCATTTGGATCATTAGACAAATTCAGTGCCTTCAAGTTTGAGAACAAATTGGGTCAGATAAAAAAATTAATTCGGAAACCATCTTCGTCACTAGTGCAGGTTCATCACCGCTTGGCTGAACAAAATTTGTTAGACTTTGACGATGAAAAGTTAAAAAATCACGAATACCCGGTTTTTTCCCGATCCGCAGCTGACGGGAGTTACAAACTTGCAGAATTTGAAACCTACTCTCTTAAGTGCGATATAAAAGACGGCATAGTATTTTTGAATTCTCTACAAATTGCTATCATAACTTCTATTTGTTCGGACAAGAAATCTTTTATATGTAGGAAGTTTGGTTCAATTAGAAAAAATTTTACTTATCCATGTGATTCAACACTTCTCTCGGTTTACGAAGTTAATTTGGAGTCTTTACAAGAAGCGACAACCCTTTCATTTACTGAAATAAAACACAAGTGTGTTTGTTTATCTGAAACTGAATTAAAATTTGTCATCTTTCCATTACTTCACACCAGGTGAGAGATGGACGAGTTTTGTGTTGTGAAGTTTCCGGATGAAAGTGATGCTGTGGCGGTAGTCTGGAAGGGATGGATTCTTGGTGACAAGTGCTATTGGCCAAAATTTTCGAAACACATTACGAAGTTGGTAAAAAATAAAACTGAGGTGGATGTCGAATCTTGGGAGCCTTGTAAAGTAAAGTTAATACATTCGTTTCGTAAGTCAAATAATATTTCTTTTCAAACATATCTTAACTTCACACTCTGTTATTAATAATAAATATTTGTGTCTCTAATATCTGCATACTTCTTTCAGCAACGTATAAGGAGGCTCGAGCTCATCTTAAGCGTGCCGAGTATACATCAGATATTGGTGGAGGCGACAAATCCGAAACACTGGGAAGGTCCGGACAGGAGGCAGTCGTCCCTCCCACTCTACCACCCTTCCCGATCATGCCTGACAGCCAGCGAGCAGATGAAGAAGCATATTCTTCGTCAACCAATTTAAGTGCTGCACAAGTAGTTCCTGACCAGATTTCCTCTATTGGCTTGCCGACTGACGACATTGTTGAAGTGTTTTTCATCGAGAAAGAAGATAAAGCGATTCAAACTGATTCTTACGAATTAACAAACAGTAAGTACTGTCAAATTTAAGTTTTGAAGTACAAATTTTATTCGTAGTTCGTTAAACAATTGGTATTGTTTCACCTTCAGTTATGAGACTTTTGCATTCCATTAAATTGGAACTTCAAGGACACGGACAGGCGCTACGCACCATTCTGGGAAGGGAGTTGTCCAACGGGAGCCCTGCTGTAGTCGCTACGTTATCAGACGAGCTCAACGACTTGGGTTTCCCATTAACGAGAATGGAAGACATAATTGATTTGGATGATCGTGTCAAGAAGTCAAAAGTAGCGAAATCGGACTTGGTATGTAAAAATACATTTGAAAATGAGAATTTAATTCTGTCTACCAATATTAACCGGGTTGAACAATTTTAGGCCATTATTATGGCAACTTGTAAGGGAACGGACGTCAACACCGTGGTATTACAAATCATGTCGAAGCTTATTGCAGATGATCTCATGGCACAGTTCAGCTTAAAAGGAAAGCGCAAGAAGCGATCTAGATAGCTTATCTAGATAAGCTTTTTCTAAAGCTGAATTTTGCATAAGATGTTCTTGGGCGTGGTTTAACATCGAGGGCAACTTCCCAGCATCTAATTCAATCTTTATGTAAATAATTTTACTTTCTTATTTCATTTTTGTCGCGAAAGTGCACCGAATGAATTGAAACCGGATTCGATTGATGTGATCGATCTGGCTGGAGATAATTAAGGAGACATGACATGAATAATTATAAATTCTGGACAACCATAAAATGTGGTGTGGTCTGGGCTGGCTGATCATGCAGGCCAACGCCTAAACCAAAATGACCGGATTATGTAATACTTCAGGGTGCATTTATTTAGGGAATCGTAGTCAAAAAACTCAATAGATTTGGCTACGATTAGCTTTAACTGCGAGTAAATAATTTGTCCAAAGTCAAAGTCAAGTAAAAATGTGGCTAAAATTATCTATAAATATTTAACTAATTACATACTTTGCCCGACGAGTTAAAATTATCTCAAAATTAAATTGGACCAAGTTTTCTTAATATTTTGGCATTTGTCGTGACACATCCGTGTCCGGGATGTCTACTTTTTAAGATAAGACAAACTGACTGACTGGCTTATCTTGGTTTAAATTAATTATCATGACACACACACATGTACTACAAACATTTACGCATTATGTGTCAATCATTAGCGCGATTGAGATCTGCAACCAGTGCCAAAACTCATTTCGTGAGAACAACTGCAAAAAAACGTGACGCAAAAAAGATGCAAGCACATAAAGTTCAGTCTCGCAGCTTGGGTTTAGCATTTGCATTGCGACGATTAAAAGAGTTGTGATGCAATTTAAACAACTGAGGGAATAAAATGTTGCCCAAATATTTGAGGAATTTGTGGTTGAACATTTGGGCGATTTTTTTGCGAAATTCTACACCTATTTAACGACAGACTAAAGAATGATTTACAAAAAAGAGGTCCTATTCGATGAAGATTTAGTTATTTAGACACGAATTTCTCGCATATTTTGGTCCTCCAAATATTTGTGTGTGTGAGAGTTTCACTTACATATTCGCAAAAATTCGCACACATACCAAACTCAACCCCACCCAATTTCTCAAGGATACCGACTTTATACTCTCCGTTATCAGCTAATACAACAGGATCGAGAGATGAGATGAGCAAAAAAAGATGACAAGATCGAGTATTTGTCTACGCTAAACCATTATCCCTACATATCATGATGATTGGCGAAAGTATTTATACTACAATTTACATGCAATTTTGCCATATTTTTGCATAAACTTTAGTTCTTTACGTAAAATGTTATTTTCTCAAGTTTGTTTTAATTCCATATTACTAACAAAGAAACCACTCTGGCGAGCTCTATAACATACTAAAAGTATACCCATATATTACAAACTCTGAAATGGAATTAAGTACTAATTTAAGTATAAATTGGAAAACACTTGTGTACTAGTAAACTAAAAATTACTGGTAAATCCATAACTGTAAAACTAAAGTGAACTGTAAAATTAATTCTAAACTAAAAACATGACAAAAAAAGAAAGAAAAAAATAAGAAGCATCCGAAACAAATGTATATCAAATTGCACAAATATATTACAATTAAACCAAGACACAAATGGGAGAGAAACGTTGAAATATATAGAAATTCTTTGTAAATTGGAAAAACATTAAGTTAATTTTAATTTAATGATTTGAATGGAAGATGAGTATTTAGGACAAGTTTAACGTTTGCCGAATGCTTTCAGCTTCCTCTTTACCTCCCTCACGACACATCCTCTTCTGCAAAGCGGTCAATTCCGCGTTGATCTTGGCCAATTGCATGCGCGTATCTTCATCCTGATTGCCTTGGAGTTCGGACGATTCCTATTCACAAAGTCAATATCATTGTAAATTATAAGTCAGACTTACATTACATACTTAATTCGATACATATTTAAGTAACTTACATTATCAAACTCCTTGATAATTTCCTTCAACCCAGTAACACAACTATTCAGCGATTCCTTCATCGAGTCGAAGTGCGTTTTCACAGCAAGCATCATCTTGGTCAGCTTGTCCTCCTGTGATAAAAAAATTATTGTAATTTGTGACATATTTATCACATTTTGTGTTCAAATTACATACCATTTCCTTCTGTGCTTCGAAAATTTCTTGGACCCTGGCAGCAATCTCGCTGGACCTTTGTTGGAACCTCTGAACGACTTTCCCCCTATCTAATGAATGGTTTTGCAGCGTTTCCAATATTGCGTTTGGCGACTCTTTGACAGCTAAAAAAATAAATTTGCATAAATTGCATACAGTTGCATATAATCAGCATAATATGTTACACTAAATCTGTTAAATTACATTGAAAGCAATCCTGAATTCTCCTCTTTTTTGCTTTGATCCGACTCCTGAGTTCGGATCCCAACCGGTTCAACATTTCAGAAATTTGTATCCCCGTCCCGTCACTCTCGTCGTCCGTTAAGCAATCCATGTCACTTGGATAACCGCCACCATTTCTCTGGACGCTATTGTTGAACTGGACCTCCTCCTCCTCCTCCTCGTCCGAATCAGGAATAGTAATACGATGGACTTGTGGTTTCTGCTGCTGTCTTTTCTTGGGAGCAGCTCCACTAGCTCCACTTGGAGGCAGACCAGGTCCGGAGGGTCGATGCACCCCAACGGATGAGCTCGAAGATGACTTCGGCAAAGGAGGAGGTTCACTTCCTTCTCGTCCTCCTCGACCTGCAGCAGGTGGACGGCCAACCGGGCGTGACGAAAGAGTTTCCTTCTTCCCCCCCACGACGATTTGCCTGTTCCTCCCTTTTGGTGGGAGAGTAGCCAGTTCTTCGGTGACCCTTTTACTCTTTGGGGCTGGTTTCCGCTGCTGTCCCAGCTCCATTTCGGGGCTGTAGTCTTCGTCAGAGTCGGCCATTTTGGGCATGGAGACAAAAACTGTGTGCAAGTAAAAACAAAATAATTATTAACTACAATTAATATTAACTGGATTACGCGGAAGTTTTATTTGCAAAACGAGGAAGAGTTTACTTATTTGTCAATTTCTCGAATGCTATCTGACTAATTCTATCTAACTAATAGGTGTGGTCCATTCGACTTACCTTTAATTAATTAATGAATTACTTTAATTATTTGTAAAATTATAAATAATTGAGAAGAACGAACCGACCGACCGGAGAAGCGAATGAAAATTGTGAAAGTGGTGAAGGAGCTGGACAAGTGGGCTGCTGGAGAAGACGCGTAGAGAATTTTGACCCCTCTGTTGTCTCGAGAAAATTCTCTCTGACTTTTATAGTTCGTTGACCCCCCAATTTCTCAAGTGCACAAGTTAACTTGCAATTTGCAAAATTAAATGTATTTAAATTATTTATGCAAATAAGATTTCCGCACACTTTATCAAATTCTTGTTCATGATTTATTACTTTTTTCTTCCATGTACTTTTTATTGACTGACTTAAAACAGCGTAAAATTAACTTGATCAAAGTCAGCTTTTCACGTTTTTAGCAAATTATTCGCAACCAGTGGCAAGCACCCCAAATAAATATCATGCTAAAAACTAACCATATCATTTTAAGAGACGAATAATAAGTAAAGTACTCAAATGCTTGGGTTACGTCATGTTTTTGCAAATGCGAATTCTACACTTTTGCTTGCGGAGAAAGTTAACAAGAAAAAACAAAACTACAAAAATTTGACCTTTCAACAGTTAACAATTTGTCCAGAAACTAAATCACATAACTAATTACACTCTACTAAAATAAATATTAATTAAATCACATGCTCATGAAATTGACAATTGAGCAGAAATTAACTAACAATTAGTACCTCCCTCCCACCCCACGCCCACCCAGACCAAAAATATCATATTATTGACGACAGACAATGACAAGAAGTTGCGTGTTCTGTTAAATATCTGGCTTAAAAAATCAGCTCATTAAATTTCTCATTTTGTAATCATTTAAAAATTATAACAACTTAATTAGTAGCAACTAGAATTTGGTAAAATTTCCTCACTCAGTCGAGTAAAATATTTAAATTAAATGGCAGGCGTACACACTGTCAATCAAAATCCCCTTACGTTCCAAACAGTTGACTTTGGCACAAAAAAAAACTTTGTAAATAATCAAACCGCTGCTGTTGCCGTTGTACCCGAATTATTATTACTTGACCATTTTTTCCGAAATTTCAAAACCACTACGCACCCGACCAAACAAACCTTTGTATTATTATCGTAGGGAATTTTGTCCTTAGAAAAGTGACAATTTTTACAAAAAACTATTACATAAGTCATCACCTATAATTACATAAATTGTTGTTGCTAGATTTATTTTACGTTTGAAATTTAAAATGGAATCCGCCTTGATTGAATTGATGGAAATGTGCGAATGGATTGAAGCCCTGACCACCCCCACCATTTTGCTGTTCTGGATCCAAGGGATCCTCGCCTTGGTCGAATTTCGCCCTCTTTTCTGGATCGGTGAGAACTTCTTTCGCTGCTGCAATATCGATAAATTTCTTTTCCGCGATCTTCTTATCATCGCCGTCTGGGTAATTGTCAGGATGCCATTTTTGCGCAGCTTTTCGGTACGCTTTGACTATTTCTGGTTTCGTCGCGGATCTTTTAATCCCCAAGATTTTGTAGTAATCTCGCTTCGATGCTTGTTTCTGGAGTTTTTGAGTACGTTGCATCCCTTCCTTGGCGCGACGGTTGTCCTCGTCGAATTCCAAGGCGCGACGGTAGTCTTCAAGGGCTATGATTACGAAATTTTATAAGTTTTTTTCTAAATTTTAGTAGTTAATTGGATTAGTAGATTAATTACCTTCAGAAAAGAGATCATTTAACAGATAAGCTTCCGCCCGATCACACAAAATTTCAAGGTCCTCTCGAATTTCGAGTGCTTTCGAGCAATGGTCGACTGCTAGTGAGCCTTCATTATTTTTTAAGTGACACCAACACAGCTTATGCCGCAATTTGAGGTCGACGAGTTGTGGAAGTTTGGAATCTACTTTGAACGCCTGCATAGAAACATGGGATCATTAAGTTATGTTCACATTTTATAAGAATTTATCCTTTTCAGCCTCACTTTTTTAATGTCATCTACACACTCCCCAAATTCCTGCTTCTCCCCCGCACTTTCCGCCTCTTGTAAGAGCTTATCCAACTTTTTCAACTTCTTATACAACGGGAAGCAATACTGATGTTCGGGATCGAGTTTTAAACATTCTCTAATTTCCTTGAGGGAATTGTCCACCTCGCCGAGTTGATAGAGGATCGACGAGAGCCTGTAGAGACCGTCGGTGTCATCATTGTTCAGTTTGGTGGTGAACCTGAGGTCCATTATTGCATGGGTGGCATCACCCAAGTCCATGTAACAGTTGGATCGCATCATCCTCAACTCTGCGTCCCATGGAGCAATGTCAATTATGCGCGACAGAATCTCCACCGCGGATCCGCAGTCGTTCATTTCCACAAAATAGCGAGCGTCAATGACGGCGCGGCGCATCTCATCGGCAGAAGAGTAACCTTGCGACGCCTCGTAGTTGTCGGGGTCACGAGTTAGCTGGAAAGGGAGACAGTTGTTTATTTATTATTAATGTTGATTATTAATTGTTATCAATTTTAAACAGACTTACGACACGTTCATAGTCGACATGGGCATCCTCCAGTTTTCCTTGTTTTAAGAGAAGATTTGCCCGTTGGAGGATGGCCGTTGTGAAGTCGAATTTTAGGTCGATAACTTTATCTAAATCTTTCAGCGCTTGGTTGTATTTTCCTAGCGCCATGAAGACGAGAGCGCGGCGGTAGTAGGTCTGATAATTTTCTGGGTCACCTTCCACGGCGGCGTGATAGTGAGTCAGGGCGTCGGCGAATTGACGGTTTTCCAAATGGATTCTTCCCATTTCGAGGTGCTTATTGACATCTTCCGGAGATCCAGAGTTAACCCCTAATAAGAACATTAATTCAATTTTTGATTATGAAAGATAAATGCAAATGTGATGGATAAACCGACCTGGATAACCCATCAATGTTAAGCACCAAACCAGAATTGCGAAAATATCCATCTTTACGAATGGAATTTCTAGCTGCATTCTTCCGGCAGATAACTTGTTATCAATTTGAGTAGAAATGAAAATCTCTTTAAATTGTCTTAGCAAAGTTGCATATTAAATTTTATTACTCTTCAATTCTTCATATTTCAAGTTTTTGTATTACATCCACTTTAATTTATTTAATTAATTAGGTAAGAAAACTATTTTTAAAATTGTGTAAATTGATTAAGAAACAAATTTGTCACAAACTTTTTAATTTATTATCTAACTTAAAAACTTGACGCAATTTTCTTCTTGGAGGTCAACACTTAACTAAAATCAAGCCGTTAGTTAGTAGTTAGTTAAACTTAATTGTGATTTTGTTGACCTGACAAAACTAAAATAGTGACGAGTAGTAGGCAAGAGTTGAAATTCGTACTTGGAACTGATGTGGTGCTGCCTCATTCGTCCACCAGCCAGAAAAAGGAGGTGCTTCCAAAGACACGATTTTATACACGTTTTACTACCAAAAACCATAACATAAGATTATCATGATGGATACGATAAGGTAAATAATTTCGATAAGGTAAATGTTCCAACAGTAAAATAGGGTACGGTACAGATAAGACAAATGCAAGAGAATCGGCTGAATGTGGGAATTGGGGTAGGATGAGATTTATCTCAATTTTCTCGTCTCAAGTTTGTCTCAATTTTATCACAATTTTTTACTCTATTTTGTCTCAATTTTTCCTTCTCCATTTTGTCACAATTTTTCTGAAATTTTTGTCGCAATTTTTCTCAAATTTTTGTCTCAATTTTTGTCACAATTCTCTCAATTTTATCTCAATTTTCTCGTCTCACTTTTGTCTCAATTTTCCCGTCTCAAATTCCTGCCATGACCCCTCTCACGATACACCGTTGAATCACGACATCCTCCAAAACGTTCAGGGCGGCCTCAACCACGGCGAAATCTGGGCCACGACCGTTATCATTTGCAGGGGGGTTGTCGTTGAGGATGAAAATATTGGCGATGAAGAGGACGGCATAGCTGCCGACGAGGAGGAGCAGGTCGTGCAAGTAGAAGACGAAAAGGACCAACGTCATGGCGAAGATGACACCCCAAATGACCAACATCACCGACACGATGAGGTGGATGGCAAACGTGGGCAGGATGGCGAATATAATGGCGAAAATTATGATGTAAGTTATCACGATATCCGTCGTTAAGTGGCCGACGACGTACCACTCCCACATATTTTGGGGTTAATTAATTAATCAGTTAATTGAATGTGATTACTGGAAAAGTAAAATATGTTTGAGCAGTGGAGTCGGACACAGGGCTGGATTTCCTTTTCAGGTAAATAAAAATGTATGAGAAAGGGTTAAAAATATGTTTCTGGAGAAATCATATTCTTGGAATTTGTGCTTTAAAAATATCCAGTGCGCTGAGAAGAATAGCGGCCAAAAATGCGACCCAACCCTACCATCACCGTGATCGAATCGAAGACTCTCAGTTCCTTGTGTAAGATAAAATAAATTGAAATATAACATTGGAAATATTTACCGTATGAAATTAATGCCTTTATTTTGACAAATTTGAAAAAATGGGGTAATTTTTTACACAAATAATTTAATATTTTACAAATATATGTTAATTACTTTTGTCATTTTATGTCTTTTATGTGTATCTTTCAGACTGAAATTGAAAATTCGAGATATTTTAAATAAAGTATACATATTTTTCATAAAATTAGCCTAAAACGGGGTTGGTTTTTGAAAAAAATATTAATTTATCAACAGTTTTACAAATTTAATCATAATTGTAAAAATGAAATGAATTATCACGTAGGTATCACGTAGAGCTTGTCATTTATATAACTTTACAATTAATTAAGTAAATATTTCTGTTTTGAAATTGAAAATCCTATAAATTTTGAATAAAGCATAAGCATTTTTCATTAAATGAAGAAAAAAACGGGACAAATTGTTATAAAGATTCATTGTCGTCGATATTTTTATTTATTTTTAACGCCTGATTTCGGCGTGGTGACCTATTTCCAAAGGGAGGAAGCCCACGAGATTTCTTGGCTGGGTGGTCATCGTGGTCGTGATTTTGGCCTGTCCAGTCCGCCCGTGACGGTAATTCGGTGGATGAGCTTGCTGCTGCTGCTCCTGCTGGACAGTGGCGTTGAGGGGAATTGGTGCCCGGATGGCGTGGGGATGAAGTTCTTGTGGTTTTCGTGCTGATAAGAAGACCGCTTATCAGCATTGCGACTACGTGGAGATGACCAGGACAGACATTCTGGAGCTTTGAGGAGAGTCGCGCCACTGTAAGCAGATTGAGGGATATCCGACGCTTGTTGGAATTGTTGGGTCAAAACCGTCCTATAAAAAATATTTAAAATGAGGATAAGATTTCACGCTTAGAGAATCGTTAATTAATTAATTAATTAATATCGTTTTATAAGTCTGAGAAAAATGCCACAGATTTTGTAATTTTGTCGCATTTATAACTAAAGTGTTCATCTTGATCGCTCGATCGTGAAAATACGAAACATTTATCAAAATTTAAGAACCAAAATCTACCCCTTATCGCATAAAAATGAACGCTTATCGCTTATCGAACCTCTTTTCCTTGTGGTCTGCAGTATCCGTTGTCGTTTCCGAAAAGATTCTCGTCATTTGCAACCTTTCATACTCGTTTCTCCACTTGAAGGCAAACTTATCCCGTAGAATGGCCATGTCCCTTTGGAAGTTGGGTTGGTGGTTGGTGGGTGAGGGGAGGTAGACCTGGTAGTAGACCTGGATGCACGTGGGGGCCACGTGCTCCCACACAGCGGCCGGGTCGACATCCGCCCCCAAACGGACGCCATATCTGGTCAGAACTCGAACCGCTTTGAAGTACATGAAGAGCAAGACGGCAAACCAAAGGGATGAAATTATCCCCAGTGTTAGTAAAAGGTTCGCCATGGCGTTCAACTCTTGGAGAAAGACAATTACGCGGTGGAGGGTCATGATGGCACTTTAGTAAATTTATAAAAACAAGGTGGGAAAATTTGGGGAAAATTGTGTTCCAAATTTTGAACTTGGGGTAAGAATTCGACTTGGTTTAAGAAATGCAACGTAAAATTTGGGCAATTTAAGGATAAATTATGTCCCAAAATGACTCGATTTGAGGGGAGGAATGGACCGACTGAAAATAAATCCTGGATGATTTGACAAGTTTCAGTGGAATTAGATATCATTCATCGTCTAGTCAATAATAGTGTGGATAATAATGCCTCTCATCCGGACACACAAAGTTAAACAGAATGGAAGGCAAGTTTGAGATAAAGTGAGGATGAGGAAGCCAATCTGCATATTTTGCATACCTGAACTGAATCAGGATCAAAGATAAGATTCTTAAGAAATTTGATAACAAAAAAGATAAAGCCAAGAAAGAGCTCTGTAGCAGAAGCAGCAGCAGAAATAATAATCATGAAACGAAATGCATAGTATTGGTATGACATGTGATCTAGCCCCGTGACCTTTTGACCAATAATTAGGTCAGGTAACGAACTATCTCTTACTTTAAAAGTTATATGTTTATGCCTTAAAACAAGACTTAAAACAGTTGAATCGTTCAAGAGTTATCATACTGACAGATGTAAATCGATCATTCACGTTTGATAAGCATTCAAATTCTCAAATATTCAAATCCCTTCCTTATCCAAGGGTTACCAAAAACAATGACTGGATTGCATTTCAACCAAAAATGTATCACAATTAAAAAACTTGTACATGGATTATTGTAGACAATTTTTTTCCGTAAATATTTTGTCCAGGACGAAATGAGTCCAATCGACTACGACTACCCTAGACGTCCTGCCGTTGGGGGAGGAGGAGGTGGTGGGGACGGGGATAATCCCCCCAACTTCTGGGCCTTCTTCAGGACATTCGTCATCGTGGGGATGATCGCGGTGGCGTACTACATCCTCGCCCAAATCATCGAAAGCATCTTCCGCGTACCCCAAAGGATCCGCGTGGGCAAAAAACCACATAAATCTATCATTTGGTAATGCAGGAAATTTTATTTCCAACAAATTTTTTTTCCAACAAAATGGAAAATTATTTATTAACATAAACATTGATAAAGTATGAAATACACTTAGTTGGCTTGGGGAGTAGAGGAAAAACCCGATGTTGGTGGGTTGGGAAAACCTTTACTTGATCCGGGTAGGCGTCCGAGATCCAGCATGTCTAAGTGTGTGAGAGAGATAAGAGGGGGCAAAAGTGTCTGTACATGTAAAGTCCCATATTAGTGAGCGTCCCTGTTTGTAAGGTATTAGTGTTAGACCATCCGGTCTTTTTCCATCTGTCCTACAACACCCTAATGGTTCCCTAATGCTTGGTATGTCTGCAGAAATTAAGGCTCTCTTTATTATGTCGTTACATTGTGTATGTCGAGAGTGCCTGCCAGCACTTTTTTTTACATGAAAATAATAATTTCCAACAAATAATTTCGAAATTCTAAAGTTTTCCAATATTTCATTCAGGAAACGCTGGCCTTAATAAACAATTCGAAAGTTTTCGCATACTTCAACGCCGATACAAATTAATTGAGTAAATTCACAAATGCAAAAGAAAATGGAAATAGATGTAAACATTTGATTTATCTCAGGAAATTTCAGGAAATCAAATACCGTAAAAACTCAAATAGTAGCCGGGGGCTACTATTTATAAAATGGGTGGCCGGGACCCGGCTACTATTTGAGCAAGGCTACTATTTGGGCAAGGTCACTATTTCTAAAATTATGAAGATGGACACGGCTACTATTTGAATACGACTATGATTTTCATTTCCTAAATCAAGCTCAAACTAAATTTAAGACCAACGCCAATTTTGTCCTTAGAGTCGTAGTCCATTAGAATATTCTTCTGCTCGACCTGCTCTTCAATGATTCCTTCGATGAGCTAAATTCGTATTTTACCATCGACTCATCCCTTCGATTGTGTGTAACTGCGATTATATTGAATTATAATTTAATTATCTTAATTAACTGTTAAGAAGTGTAGTAGTATGGAGATTTAGACGCGTCTATTCGAATAAGGCTACTATTTGGGCAGGGCCACTATTTGGGCAAGGCTACTATTTGAGCACGGTCACTATTTACAAAATTTTGAAAATAGGCACGGTTACTATTTGAGCAACGGCTACTATTTGAGTTTTTACGGTATGCAGAAATACATTTCTAGCCTTTTTTCTAAATTCTAAAAATTGTACGTACATACAATACTTTATTTTTATTTTTTGTAAAATTCAGTTAAAAAAATATGTACAAAATTTTAACCAACATAAGGTAATAAATAGTAGTGTTTTTTTTTGTACAAGGAAAAATAAGCTACAAATTAAAACAGTTCATTCAAAAATTGGAAACTCTCAGTCTCAACATTTCCTCAGAATATTCCGTTTGTTGAAATTATTAGCAGTCATAAATATCCAATTTACTTAATTATACATATAATTATGTATAATTATACATAAATTATAAGAATCTTTTCTAAGCAATTCCTTAAACTCTGACATTGGGATAGAAGAACTGAAAGGCATTGGAAACTCTCAGTCTCAACATTTCCTCAGAATATTCCGTTTGTTGAAATTATTAGCAGTCATAAATATCCAATTTACTTAATTATACATATAATTATGTATAATTATACATAAATTATAAGAATCTTTTCTAAGCAATTCCTTAAACTCTGACATTGGGATAGAAGAACTGAAAGGCAGGAATGGAGACGATTCTGGAATAATAGTAGCGAATCGGGATGGGTCGAACGAGGCTGTTTTGCTGCTGCTGTGATCCCGATGACCTCAGTAGGGGCGGCCCGTACTCGTAATTAGTCCTAATTTTCACCATGCGTCGACAATACCCGCGCGCATCTCGGCGCTGGCCTTGCGGACAGGATCGTTCCGGAACTAAAATCATGGTGCGATCTTGCGAGATTTTCGTCTCGTCGATGAGGTCATCTCCTGGTCCTCCGTGGTGACCCATTCCATCCAGCGATTGGTGGTCCCCTCCCCGTCCTCCCCGTCGTGATGACCTGCAAATTATGCCTCGTCCAGGTCAAGTAAATTTGCACGTTTATAATTCAACGTAGCACTCGATATCGTCAAAATCAGCAAATTTTTAATAATTTCTTGGCTCTGGGAGTTTAGTTCAAAATTCTGTAAGTCGAATTTTCAGAGCTGGTCGTCTCAAATTTTTTAAAACCGTACACTCCAGATTTTTACCGTTTTTGAAGGAGGAGATCTCAAGTTTAAGATGCATTCAGAAAAATTGAAAATCATCGAAACTTGTTTGAAAACTCAATGCCATTCAATTAATCTACTTAACTACTTACTCACTACACATTTGTCGCCCAGAATTTAAAATAAATTCCCAGAGCCGAGATAAAAATTTGCTGATTTTGATGGTTTTGAGTCCTAAATTAAATTACCTTCCGCCTCCGCGACGTTGGCCATGTCCACTTCACCGGAAGTATTAATCTGCTCGTCATCCAGGTCGTGCTGCTGGTGGCGACGTGCTTGCTGTTGCTGCGGATACGCGCTTTTGTCCCCCATCATCATCATCATCATGCCGCCGTGACCTTGACTTCCACCTCTTTGCTGCTTCTCTCGATGTCGTTTAGTCCAGTGCGGAGCTTGTAGTTTTCTGAGAAGGGGGATATCAAGTTTGGGGGGTAGTTGTTGTGCGGGGGGAAGTCGGAGGGCGCGGAGGGGTCGCCTGACTCTGCGAGGACCAGGGCGAACGAGGAGAGTGGAATTTGTATCACTAAATATCCAAACAGCAAATATTTTAGAAGTTTGACGAGTTCTGGAGAGTCTTCCATGATGGATAAGTAGCACTAAACAGAGATCCGTGATTAATTAATCGTGATTAACGGATTAAGGATTGGGATTAAGGATTAATAATCCTTAATGCTTAATCCCGACAAAAAATTGTATGCAATTAATCCTTAATCATTAATCCCGACGAAATATTTCCACGCCATTAATCCTTAATCCTTAATCCCGACAAAGCGTATCCAAATTATTAATTCTTAATCACGATTAGGATTAAGTCTCGCAAGAGAATAATCACTGAGAATGGAGTGAAGTAACACTAACATTACATATTCTCAAACATACGATATTTTTCCACTCTTTCTACTGTCCTCTCCCGAAATTAAGATGTGTGGAATTCTTTAACTTTAAATTGTTGCTTCCGTAAAAATACTGATTCAGTCGTTAATCATGGTTAACAGTGATCTAACTGAGCTGAAAAATTTGCCGTTCATCTTCACCGGCAGATTGTTTGATGTCGAACAAATTGACAAATTCAGCGGCTCTTTATAGGCCAGGCGCATAGCTTTTGCACCAATGTGTGCCATAATTGGTGTTAATATTAGGCCAACATCAAATTTTACTTCACATTTGACATGCAAAAGTCCTATACATTGTCTGTTTTGTATGTATTTGATGTTTCAATATTCCTATGTGCTACAATAAACAATTAAACTGCATTAAATGGAGTAATATAATAATAATATTAATCCTTAATCAAGAATTAATCAGGATTAATTAATCT